AGCAGGAATCAGAAGGGAAAATATGAGAAAAACTCGTTAGTCAAGATAAAGACAGTTTAAGAAGGGAAAGGAATTAAAAAAAAAAAAGAGAGAGAGAAAAAAACAAGCAATGTAAAAGCCATCACTCATAACGTCTGACTGACCGGTAGACTGATGTCCAGCTGGTTTCTAAACAGCAGCCACCTTAGAAAAACCAAAACACCCCATGAGCATGATGTCATATGGTAGAGAATATCCCTTTGGCGAATTTGGGTCAACTGTCCTGGCTGTGTCCCCCTGCCAGCCTCTTGCCTCAGACGACACGCTTGAGGACCAGAGTGAGAAGCAGAGAAAGCCTCGACGCTGCACAAGTGCCCTTCAGCAATAGCCAAAACACTGGTGTGTTATCAACACACCCAGCCCAGATCAAGGCTTTATCAAGTTCTTTTCTACCTGGTAGTCATAAAATGTGGTTTAGCTTCTTTCTAATCCTTCAGGGTTTTTTTCCTGTGTTTAGACATGGGAGAGAGCTCTGTGTATCTATGTATTATCTCCTTGCCCCTGTGCCACTGACAAAGCTTCTGCTGATCTTCCCACATTGGCTTGTTTCTGTGGTGAATACGTTTCTCTTTTTGAGGAACCTGACATAAAAAGCATATCTAGATGTCTCTGAGGATCATTTTTCAGTGCAGTACATCCTAGCAAATCTCTGTAGGTGCCTCTGAAACTTCACCCTTAAGCCTCTGCTTTATTATTCTGTATTCTTTTATTCACTACAAGATTTTAAGGGTATGCTATTCCTGCTTGAGATTTTTTTAATGAATAGCATGCAGCCATTTGTAATTGTTTATGTATCTGTCTTTTCAAGACGCCAGTGATCAAAGAGAAGACATTTACATTGGAAACCACATACCTTGTTCAGAAAGCTTCAATGGCTACTGTATACATGGAAAATGTGAATTCATTTACTCCACTCAGAAGGCTTCCTGCCGGTAAGTCCTGCATGCCTAAAAATGTGCTTGAAATTGCTGTAAAGCTTAATCAAAATGCTCTCTAGACATAATTATGGCAAGTATCAGTCTGCAGTTACCAGTGCAGTGGCACAGGAGCCGTATCCCCATGCTGTGGGCAGCTCAGGTAGTTCAGAAGCTGAATCCCTCTGAGGACTGTGGCCTCAGTGTTGTCTCCTTATTTTCAGCTGCCAAATCCTATCTAGAGGAAAAAAAAAAAACAAACCCCAAATGCCTTTGTCTTGCATGGCTTCTCTGTATGACTGCTCTTTCCCCATTGAACTCTCAGTCTGTTCTTACACTGTACATTCTATTGCTCTTGTCATAAACTCTCTCTAGAGCATCAATATCTTATTTGTAGCATTTGTTGCCCTTTTCAAAATAATAGGCTTCATCTAGAGAGTATAAAATTGCAAAATATTCTTTAGCCCACATTTTTTGTCTGTGGTATAATCTAGCAGATCAGTACGCTCAGTATTAAGCCACTCAGTGTTTCCCACGGTATCTGAATGTTCCATTTTATTTCCTTAGCTCCCAGATATTTTTTTCTTTACATTTCAACAACTCAGTTCTGCCTCTTTGTTGTCTTAAAAAAATAAAAATAATTTAATAAGTTGTTTATAGGAAAAGGCCACTTCTTAATAACATGGAGTGCCCTACTTACTAGGAGGTTTCACTCCTGAACTTTTATCTTGCAGGCTTGTACTCTCAAATTAATGTGGCTGAAGATGCTATAACTCTTTGCTTTCCTTTGCTTTGGAAACTTTAGCTGTAAATCCATTAGATGCTATCACATTTTCTCCCCTGATCTTTATCGATCGAGGATATTTAGGGTTTTTCCCACTGCCAAGATTTAAGGGTTTCCAGACTGATGAGGGAGCGGGAAGCCCAAACGGCAGAGCCAGTGTGGTTGTCATCATAAGCTTATATAATTCCTTTTGCCATCCAAGACCCTTTCTTGTCTACTTTCACCTTTCCAATAGGACTTACGTGATTTTTTTTCTTTGGCCAAAACCAAGGGAGCGCAACATGGCTTTGCTCCTCTTGGGATTCTGAGTGCATCACCAATGTCATCTTGACAGACATGAGGCAGCACTATTTGATTACGGTGTTCTTTTGATCTAGAGCTGTGTTTAACATGATTTCTGATGGATTTGTCCTCAAAATATTCAAAGTAGAGGTATTTCAGGGAAAATATTCCTGGCTGAATGAACTTAACTTTTTTTATTTCTCAGAATTTTGTTTCTGGAAGGCACTAATCATATAGTCATTTATTCATTTATGATTCAATTACTATTCAATTGTTTAAATATTTATTATTAATTTAATAATTACTCATAGGCAATGTTTCGATGAATGTAGTTAATGTACTGTCCCTTTAAATTCTATTTTATAATTACATTTACTATTACTACTTTCTATTATTTATTTAAACATCCTGAACAGTATCTCAGCACTGGACCTAACACAACAAACCTCACATGGTTCCTCCAGTCAAGAGTTTCTAACTGTCAGTTCTTAGCCCTAAGTACCAGATTTCCTATAGATTTTTCTTGGCTATTTAAATACTGACGGTCTCGTATTCTATGTGTGTTTCCTACTGGAGCAGAGTTATTAAGGAAACAAATTATTTATATCAGACAGTAATCCTCCATAGTAACCATGTACTTCTACCATAGAAAAGAATTCTACCTCTGGCAAGGAAAATATGGTGATGAATTCTAGGGGCAGATTGTTACTTTCAAATGCTTTGCATTCTCATACGTGTCTAGCATATACATTGTTTAATTTGGTCCTCGTTTCCTGGTAGTGATATATGTGAAGTATCAGATGACATACAAAACTGCAGAAAATATCTGCGCAGAGCAAATTGACTTTTGCTTTCACTGAGGGCAATGAATCTCCTTGCTCATTGTACGGCAGCCCTCCGGGACTGCCAGCAGGCAGGTGGGAGGAAAGTTTTGTAGTAGTCAATTGCATAATATTTCGTTTAGTGGTCTTTGCCCAGCTGGGCTCTGGTCCTTCTCCTGCTGCCGCCCTTGTGCTGTGCAGTTCTGCCCTGTCCTTATGGCAGGCTGCATCAAGGATGCACAGTTCAATCTTTTGCAAAGTAATCCAAACTTCTTTGCACTAGCTCAATTAATTGACGGATCAGCATATTTTGATAAATCCATGCTGACCTGTGTTTATCTTGCTATTGCATTAATGCTACATTATCTAGCTATATATTAATGCAGCAGAATGCTTTAAAATCTCTTCTACTAATTTAAGGTAGCTTGAACTAGTGCCTCGTACTTCATCTCACCAATATAGTTCTTAACACAAGCACTTCTTTGCAGGAATTCAATACTCCTGAATCTCCATTCAGCGTTCCTCAGAAATAATTTCCTGTCAATTCAGTGTTTCTGAGGAAACGCCTTTGAATTACTGGTGCCTCCTCTGCTTTGTTTTGCCTCATATGCTTTAAAGCAGTTCTCACATTGGTCACACATTGACTGTTACCTTCTTTAGTGAAAACAAAAGCAGAGTAACAAATAAAAATTCGGTCATCTTCACTAGCAAGGAGTCCTCTTCCTTATTGTTCTTATGATTACCAATGCGTTCCCTGTCCTCTTCCTTCTTGTATGCTAAGACATGTTTCTCCCGATTCCCTTCCGAGCCATTACTGAGCTTACTTACGGTACATGGGGGCTTTTCTTTAATAATTCCTCTCTTCCTGGAACTTGTTCCATGCCTGAACCAAAACTCCTTACAGAGCAGCTCATGGCTGGAGAAAGGAGAGTCACAAGATTATGAACACATAAACCCCAACTGTGATCCTTGCGTGCAAAGGGGGATTAGGAGTTGCATTAGCAGTTGTAGGAAGGTCTGTGGAGTAATTATTTCATCCCTCCAAACAGAATTAATCCCTACCCTCGCACAAAGCTTTTGGATGGATGAGACCAATTCTGTGTTGCATTCAGGCTTATCTGATCCAGTTTACAAAATGATTGTTTCTCATCCTGTGTATGAGTATTGCTTCTCCAGCTTTCTGCTATAGAGCTGGAGGCCAGTTGTATCATTCTGTTGCCCTTAATGATGCATTTGCATTAGTAGGTTTTAAAGGATAGCTGTGCAAGGAACTTGCTCAGGGATGTAAGTGGTGGGCTTTGATTCTGCAGACTTCAGCTTACTGTCTTGGGTGGCTCTTGCCTTTCCTTGTTGTGCTTCTCTCTTGCCTTGTGACATGAATTCCTCCAGAGTGTGTTTCCACTGCCACCTTTACCACTGGCACATCTCGCATTCCCTGAACACATTAGGGATCAGGAGCAGCCTCTGCTGAGTTTCTCTCTTCTGTCTCCAGCCGTTTATCCCCCACCCCGGCCAATTTTTATGGATTCTTCCATGAACTTTGACTTGAACAGTTGTGGGACATTGGATTTTCTAACCCGACCTTCATCAAATTTCTGTTCGGTGACAAGTCAGGAGGGGGTTTGATGCTGGTCTGGTCCAATAGGTTTTGCAAGGATTCCACTTTTGTGGGCTGCAGCTTGAAAAGGGATCTTCCTTTCCCCCCATTTTTCAAGGTTTTTTTTCCTCTGTGTCGTTCCTGTCCCATATTGGCAGTGCAGCTGAGTGAGCATGCTCGCTTTGTGTTCTTCTTTGTGTTGCATTTAGCCTTGTCTGCTTGTTTCACCTACTTGTTTTATTCTTCCTAAATATGGGCCCAATTTAATAACGACCCCACATATTTCTTTTGCCAAATCAGGGCCTTCACCACACTGGTGTGTTTTCAGGCAGGGCCACTAGTAACCTTATCCAGGAAAGGAAAGCGTATCTGCTCTGTCTCTTCTCTTGCCACAGAAATCCAAACCACTCCCCAACCCAAGTGTTACCACACCTCCACCTTCTCACCAGCTCTTTGTCAGCTGGAGTCACCTTGGACTCCTTACTTCATCAGCAAAATGATTGGGCTGTTGTCGAATTACAGATTCCATGAAATATTCCTTTTCTTTTTCAGGTGTGAATCAGGATATACTGGACAGCACTGTGAAAAGACAGACTTTAGTATTCTTTATGTTGTCCCAAGTAGACAAAAGCTTACGCATGTCCTTATTGCAGCAATAATTGGAGCTGTACAGATTGCCATTATAGTTGCAATTGTCATGTGCATAACAAGGTAGGTAAAGACAAAAAGAGTGGAAAATGACACATTGTATTGATATACTTTTTCTGTGTCTAAATATTTGACAAAAATTTTATGTGTTTTAACATATATCTTAATATACCTACATAAAAAATACCTAATAACTGAAGCAGGAGGATTATGTAAGATCCTATTGCCTTTTTGGTTTGGGTTTTTTTGTTGGTTTTTTTTTTCCCCACAAAACACACATTTGTTTAAACTCACAAACCACCAATAACCACTCTGAATCCCCAGATCAAATACCCAGCAGAACAGATCAGTCTTAAAACATATCCAAAAGGTCAGCTACTGGGTTAGACCTTCACTGGAGTTATTCAAGCGTTGCTGATATCTTATAGAAGCTATGATTCCCCCCTCCCGCACAGTGAAACCAGAGAGGTTGGCAAAATGCTATTCCACTGCAGTACTACTGTAAATAGTGCTACACAGAGAGAGAAGGATCCCTCACACTATATATGTTTGTGAAAATTAATGTGCAGCTAGTCCCGTTATTAGACACTCTCCATGAGGAACCCATTTTATGAATTGTAAAGATGCACAAACATAGACTTCAGGTTTCTGGGTTGTCTCCGATTCTCGCCCTATGTGAAAATTGAGATGAGAGCCATGGATTTTTTTTTATGACAAGAGATTCAGTTTGCTCATCAAGGACTTGAACCCAATGAGGAGTGAGGGCTCTGGGCAAGATTAAGGATGAGTGAGTTAGCTTAGAGTTGCATGAAGCATTTGAGTCCTTCACTTGGGCATCCATGCTACACTTTGCCTTTTCCTCCTCAACTCGTCCTTCACTTTTTCAGCTTCAGTTACATTGGGCCATAAGACTTTCTGCTGCTGCATTCATGCATGGCTTCCCGAGCTCAGTGATGTAGAATGACATCCCCATGAACAAACAATATGGGCGTCCTTCCCTATCTCTCTTGTAAGGTTCAACATAGTGGGTATAAGTACACATATCTAACACCTCCTGCACAGGTGAAAGAGTTACTTGGCTCATGCAGTTGATGTCATCCCTTTTTTTAACTCAACACCCTGCTGGCCAAAGCAGTGGCGTGGAAGGCTGTGGTTCATCAGCCTTCCTCTTTCAGCCTCCCTACGACTGTTCCCCAGCTCACAGTCTCTCGGGAACAGTCTGTTTTGCTCTGTTGTGCATTGCCCACTGTCTGGCGGGCTGAGTAAGTGCCCTCCCATTCAGAATTGTTGGCTTTTGTGAATCCTTTCTTAGTTGTGTGTCCGTCCCCAAGAAAGGGGTCACCTGAGCCACCCCACAGAAAGTCCTGGGTGGGCTCTGTTTCAGCGGCTGCCGCGAGCAGCAGGGCACCTGGAGGTCCACCACTTCAAAAGGCTGATTGATCCAGTCTTACCGTCCACCGGATTTTAAGTATGAAATATGTATAAAGTAAAGCCGATGCAATTATTCACCATGGTATGTGTTTTGCTGGATCAAAGGCTGAAGGATGTAGCACCTTGCTGGTTTGGGTCTGAAGTTCAAGCAGAACTCCCTTCTGAGTGATGTGGGGTGCCACGGACATCCCCAGGTGACAGCCCAGTACCAAACAGCAGGAGCATTCCCCCAGTCAGCACAGCTCAAAGACTCCTTGCTACTGTTAAGTACGGAAATTTAAGTCAATCTGTTATTGCTAGGCTTAATTTTTCGCGGCATATATAAAATCAGTCCTCCTTTTTCTTTCTCTCTCTTTTTTTAACAGAAAATGCCCCAAAAACAATAGAGGACGTCGGCAGAAGCAAAACCTAGGCCATTTTACTTCAGATACATCATCCAGAATGGTTTAACTTAGTGATTTTTATACCTACATTGACCATGTGATGTACATTTTTATTATATCTTTTTTTAAAGAATGGAAATATTTATTTCAGAGGCCTTATTTTTGAACATTTTTAGTGTAACAATGTTGGTCTATATTCTGAAAGCATCAGCTCTAACAGCTATGGACTGTTTTAGTATCTTTACTTTTATGTTTTTGAATACAGTAGTTCATTTTCTGTATCTGTATCACATGGTTATATAATAGACTTGTGCTTTATCCATGGAATGTAATATTTTTGGGAACACAGATTTATTCCACCAATGGTTGTAGATTTTAAAAAAAGAACAACAAACCAACAAAAAAGTCCACATTACCTAGCAAACAAGGCATGAACTAAAGGTAAAAATGTTTACAGCTTACTTTTCTTATGAGAAACTAGAAAACACTGTGTTTAAATACCGTAGATATTTAAATGTTTTTGGAAGTTAGTAACTGATTTTTTAGACACTGCCTATCGCATGAATTGTGAAGCTGTGTGCTGTGTGTAGTTGTAACGTATTTATAAAATGTGTGGACTGGGTCTAAGCACTGCCATCTTCATAAATAATTCCAACAATTTATTTTTAAAGAGGAAAATTATAAATTTCATAATTTGGGAAGTTACCTGGTAGAGCAGATGGCACAGGTGCAAAAGAAGTAGGTCTTGGTAGATTTAGGTATTGTAAAAATTGGTGTTGAATAATTGAACACAAATAATTGGAATAAAGCCTACTTTATCACTGTTAAAGCTGTTTTAATACTTCTTAAATTTTTTAAAGAAAATACATGTTTTAACACCTACAATACGGATTGTATAGTGTTTGTGATTAAAATAAAAAAAATAATAAAAGTGAATGAATTACTAGTGCTCTTGTATAGACTATTTTCAAGAGCTAAAGAAGTCCATCCAAATTAGTCTGCTGGTCATAGTTATATTAATAGACTGTTAGTTGTCGTTTGAGAGATCCCGAGATAAAGTGCGAATAGGATGTGTTCAGCTGTTTTAACATGTAGTTTAGGCTATCAAAGTTTTGCATGTAGGATTTAATAATTTGTTCAATAATAAAAAAAAAAATGCTTTCAACATTTTGAACTGGAAAAGCATGTCACAATACAACGTTTTCACTATATTGCCTCTGGTTTAGTGTGTTTATTTGTTACCCCATGTGGTAATGGCAGCAAGCTGAAGACCTGAAGTTGTTTTGCTGGGAAAAAAACAACCGTGTTCATTTTCCTGACAGCTCTTTGAATTCCCTTGGAGGAAAGCACTCGAGTAACGCGAAAACAAAAGTAGATCGTTAAAAATATGCAAGTTTGCTTTCCTGCTTAATTAGTAAGTTACTTAACTTTCCCGGATTAACACTAATAACTTCATCAGTACAGAAGCGTGACCCTTTAAACGTATGTTCCTTTCCAGACATTGCTTCCTAATTTTAGGGGTTTCATGTTGCTGAAAGTATCCGAACAATCATGTGTGGATATTTTGTAGTCAGAAGTATTTGACCAAGCTCCAGGAGCGGAGTTTCACGCCCTACTTTGAGCATCGCCGGGGCCAGCTGTCGCCCTGGCTCCCTGCAGCAGCGCCAGAATCGTTCTGGCAGGATCACCGAAACTTCGCCTGCTGCCGACCCGGCCGAAGGCAGGCAAAATGGATCGCCGCGAAATCACCCCGGAGGCTGACAAAACCCACCAAAATCGCCTCTCCAGCGTCACCGAGGAGGAAGAAGAACAAGATGCAGCTTACACGATCGTGACGGTCCTGGACAAAGTGGCCAACATTGTGGACAGTGTGCAGGCGAGCCAGAAAAGGATAGAGGAGAGGCACAGGGAGATGGAGAACGCCATCAAGACCATACAGATTGACATTTTAAAGCTTGCCCAGGCTCACGGCAATACCGGCTACACGGTGAACAAGTTACTGGAGAAAACCCGCAAAGTCAGCTCCACTGTGAAGGAGGTGCGGGCACGCGTGGAGAGGCAGAGCGCCAGCGTGCGGAAGGTGGAAGCAAAACAAGAGGAGATGCTGAAGAAAAACAAATTCCGGGTCGTAATCTATCAGGTAACCGCAAACCTAATTGCTTGTAGCGCTGTCATTGTGTCACCTCCTTGGTGGCTGCTGGTAGGCGTCAGTTAATGAACCAAAAGACACAGTCTGTCCAACATGAGAGTTATTTTATGCTTTCTTTAACACTGAGTTGTGCTCTGCAGTGCCTTTCAGCATGAACCTACTGACAGCAGCACACACGGTCTATTATTAGTGTTGGTAGGTTTCTGAGCCAGTCGTGTAAGATTAACTGCAGATCAGCAAGGACTATTTGTTGCCTCTCCGAAAGGTAATATGAGGCTGGCCCTGTAAATCTTGTCATACAAACCATGCCTGACATTCATCCTTGTTATTTTTTTCACCATATTAGGTAGAAGTCCAAATAGCGAAAGTGTTTGTAGGCTCTCTGGAATGTAGACTTTCTCGTAACATGAATGTTAAAACATACGGTTTATTTAACTTGCCACATTGCCTAGGCTTTCATAGTGCTGACAAATTGGGGCTTTTTTTTCATTTTCTCAGTCTATAACAGAATATGCACAAACTAAAGCTCAGAGGCACAAACCCTTCATGAGAGCAAATAGTCCCTTGCATGCTCTACTTTGGAAACGATTTAACCCAGCACTGTTCTTCCAATCATATTGGGCAAGAAAATCACACATTTTCTTTCATTGACCTCATTCTAGGATGTTCACTGTTCTTATAAACAATTGTGTTTGAAGAGGCATTTCATGAAGCAGCGGCGTTCTTTCCTAGATTCATACAAGTAGACAGTGCAGGCAGCTCAGGGGGTCTGTCACTTGCTGGTGAGTGCTGTGAAACCCATTTGTTTCTGATCTGATCCTACCATTTGTTGAAACTTCCCAGTTCCCCAAGTTAATAGAAAGTAAGAGTGTTTAATCTTTTGCCAGAAGCATAGTTTCTCTTTCATACCAGCAAGTCCCCAAAGCTTCTTTCAAATGAGTCGTATTCATCATTAGGCGTTCTTGAAAATACCAGCCCTCGTGAGTAACACAATGCGCCCCCTTCGCCCAGCCTTACGCCCCGGTCTTGCATCTGTTTGTACATAAATAACATTTACTTGCAATGAATGGAGCTGTGTGTTCCACTGAGTTTATTCACCACTGTATACAGCTGACATTCTTCTGCATAATCTAGCTTTCTGAACTATTTCCTTTTCTACTACTGGGATAAAATAGCTAAAAAAAAGAGTAAAAGCTAGGTAGGAAATGTTACCTCGTTAATGTTATGTTAGTACCATATGCAGCCAAATTGTGCCTCCCAGATTTTCTGACTGAATGACTTATTATGGATGTTCAGGAGAAAGCACAGGCACAATTTGGCCTATTATTACAATTATTGCAAGCTGCACCATCATGATGGAATAGGAAACAGGCACTTTTGCTTTTTCCTTGCAAATCATTTCCCAGGTAAAGGTAATAAATATCTCTGACTCCCCTGGTTAATGGCACAATGCCATTTCATTGATGGGCCTTTACCATAATGAATGCAGCAGAATCAATGCTTTGAAAATATTTGTTCTTAAAACAGTATTCATTACATAATGTAAATTTTTCTCCTAGCAACACATGAGTTGTTGTGTATTTTAAAATGTAGTAAAATGTGGTGAAAATGGATTTACACACAGCTATAAAGACCAGCTGTTGTTATTTTCAGATATTTCATACAAAAGGTGGCTCTCACGATGCATACTTTCTCTAAGAATCAGCTTCATAGGAGTTTCTGAACTCTGCTGGTTTTGCCGGACAGGAATGACCTTAGGTGGTACTTTTCAGGAAGGGAAACAGCATTTTGGATTTCTGTCTTTCTAGCTTCCCCTTCCTACAGTAGTTGAGAACTGCCAGCGAGAATATGAATGACTTCCTCCTTAACTTCCATCCTTTTTGTAAGGTAGATTGAAGAATCTTTTCCCTATTGCATGGGGAAGGAGGAGCAGGTATGCTGATCCCTCTAGGATCTGACATTTAACACTTTTCTGGAGGAGGAGAACTGCATTGCTCCACAAAAACTGTCAGTTGCTAGGTAGTCAAGAGTGCACTGAAGCTTTAAGGCACAGGTACACTTGTGAAGATTGCTTTCACACAAGTGCAGTGATTTTCACACTGTTGATTTACACCAGTGTAAGCATACTGCTGGAGCGCCAAGACCTGAATGACTGAAGCTTGGCTACGATGAGTGGTAGTCTGTTAATAGCTACAGAATCAGCATACTCCCTTCACTATATTTTACAAATGGGTATAACCAAGTTGTTTACTTGGTGGTTGTGAGTGACAGCTCGTCTGTAGTGAGATTTTTTTCTGATGAGCCATTTGGGACATTGTGATGGAGTCAATGACCTGTGCGTAGCCGGTACTGAATGCTGTCATGGGTGTCCACACGTGGGTTTTAGTTTTAACTTTTGCCAGAACATTGGCATATGAGGAAAAAGGAAACACCAATTAAATCCTAAAGATTTTCTTTCAAGTGGATAGCTTTGATCTTATCTTTAATAGAAGGAGTAGGCAGGTTGAAAAGGATCATTGGCTGAAGGAGATTGTCCCAAGAGACCTGGCCATGATGAAAAGAGTTGGCAATATCCTCACATTAAAAAGAGACAAAGTGATTATCCATGAGCATAATGATTAAGGAAACAGAGAGCATTCATTTTGAAAGGGCCATGTGGTTGAGGAAAACATTTGGTAGCAAGCAGCTCTCCTCCCCAGGCTGACTGCATGATTAAAAATGCTGGCTTACTTCAGAATTTCTAGTGAGGTCTTTGACCCGGGAGTGCTATGTGCCCTAAGGGTATAGTAGGGAACGCAAAGGACATTATAAGTTCTACAGGTCACTGTTCATTTCTGTTCAGGTTAGTCTGAATAACCAGCTGTGAGAGCTATCTTTTCTCTCCAGTCAAAGAGCATCTAACAATTTAACTGATTCTGACTAAATTATTCAGAAATTAAAGAGGATTTTTTTCTTTTTTTTTTTTTTTTTTAATCATGAAAGAACTTGTTCACTTGCTTTTCTGCATGTTCTGCAAGTCTCTCTTTGAACGTGAGCGTACAGGTACCAGAAATTCCATGTTACAGTTACTGGGCTTTTTTCTGTTGTTACATTACATAAGTACCGTAAACGAGTAACAACTTCCTATGAAGGGACACATGCATTTGTTTCACTCACTGCGGTCTGATGTTTAAAATTAGTGGACAGTCCCAGTGGACACATTAGTAATCCAGCAAGGTTTTGGCTTGACTGGTCTACAGAGCCATGATACAATCAATTTTTTTGCCCTGCGATTGCTCCACCGCACATACAGTGAGAGGCTAGCAGAAGCAACCTTCTGTATGCCGCTCATATTAAGCATAATAAATTAAACTATAAGTGGCTTTTCCTGGCCACTGTCCATCTGCAGCATAATGACTTGGACAGTAAAAATGGTGAGATGGAGATGGGGACAATAATCTGAAAATCTGAAGTCAAAGCACTTCCATCTGAAGTGGCAATAAAAGTCAGGGTGTCACCAGCTCAAGAGACTCTGAAAGACATGGTGCACAAACTCACTATCCATCAGCACGGAGTTTTAATTACAGCTATTCTGAGAAAAACCTGCGAGAGTAACCATCACATGAAAGACAGCAAATATAACAATTCTATTTAATAAAAAGGCAAAGGAAATGATCTGAACTATTGCCATTCGTCTGGTATCATTCAGGCGTAAGAATGGCAGGCTCAGAAGGGGCTCTGCAGAACAGAATTGTTAGTACTATGGAGTTAAATAGCTCACTAAGAGCAGATTGTGCTAGGTAACTCACATTTGGTGAGGTCTTATCCTTTCTCATATTTGTGTACCTGATACCTTACCTCATAATGGATAATCTGGGAAAACAACAGCCGACAGTGGACTCTGTTGAAATGGGAAGCGAGGCTTGTGACAGGTTTCTAAAAAGGTTTGCTTCTGAGACTTTGTCAACTGTGTAGCATTTTCATTAAAGATCTTGGCACAGAAAAAGGTGCGGATACTAATAACACTCAAAATGAGGAGCTGTCAGTCCAGAGAAAGAAACATATACAAGAAACCAAATCATCTTTAGAGCTGGAGTAACCTAAGTGTACACAATGTCATTTCCTGTACTTAGCAGAAGCTTTCTGCTAGTTTGTCTTCTGAGGCTCCATGGCTTGGAAAGGACAGAAAATGGTGTATTAATTGCTCACAAGATGACTGAGAGCCTACTTGATGCTGAGGCTCTTAAAAAAGTCAAATATGGACAAGAAAGGCTTCAGGAAAGGTATTCCCAGAAGTGAGAGAGACACCCAGTGCCCTTGTCCAAAACACTTCAGAGTCCACCCAGAGTACCACGTACAAGCTCTGATCACCCCTGTTGAAGTAAGTTGTGTTCAAACTGAGCAGGTTTGGAAAACAGCTACCAGGATGATCAGAGCAATGGGGAGCCCTGGTACATGGGAGGACACCAGGAGATCCTAGCTTGGTTTAGTCCAGCAAGAAAAGAGGGTAAAAGAGGTTGTGGCTGTCCTTTATACGTACATGGGGCACGGATGAGGACCCCAGTAAAGACCATCAGCAAAAAGATGAAATGAGTGTAAACTGTCCATGACTCAGGTCAGAAATCAGAAATGGATTTTTAGTCCTGGGGACATTAGGGTCTGGACAAAGCCTTCTGCTAGCACCCACGGGGAGAGAAGAAAGCCTACATTGCCATTAAAGTGGAGTCTGAAAACTTAATGGAAAAACAGATGGCGTAGGTTGACTAGCTGTGACAGCAGAGCACTGACCTCAGACACAGAGGCCTCGGCAGCCCAAGGACACAAGGCCTTTGTTGGAATCTTGTGGCAGAAACCTTATATAAATATTTTTACAGCCGGGACAGGTAATTGCCTTCACTGAGAATAAAAGAAACCAAACGGTTGTGTCAGAGGGTGCAGCAAGAGCCCTTTGTTTGCAGTGTCAAGCCCGGTCCCTCAGTTCAAAGGGCTGATCTGGCCCCGTGCAGTGCAGC